GTGTGCTACATGGGAGTTCAGCGACATAGCCCTTACGCTAACTGCTGGTCCCAAGTTTGGTTTTATTTTCAAAATAACATGCTTTGGGGACTAGCAGATGGCATAGTGGTTACATTGTCAGACTTACACATGACTGACCATGGTTTAAGTCCCAGACCTGGTGGCTTTACAATCAGCTTTCTTTCTCTGGTGAACTAATGTGAAAATAATAATTAATAAATCATTCCTTTTTTTTTCTTTTTTTCTTTTTTTTTTTTAAGGAAATTCTGGGGCCAGCATGTGGTATGGTGGTTAAAGCGCTGGACTCTTTCATGGCTAAATACAGTCTGAGTCCCAGACCTGGCAATTTGTTTTTCTACTCTCCCTCTCTTTCTGGTCAAATTAAAGAATAATAGTAATAAACAAAGTAAAATAAATAATTCTTTAAAAAAAGAAATTCTGATGATCCCAAAACATAGAATAAACACAACATTCTTAGTTTTTATTTTTACTTATCAGCTCACCCTGGGGGGTGATTTTCTACATTCCCTCTCACTGTCTCTCACTCTCTCTCTCTCCAGTGAGCACACACATCCTAAGGCAAAAACCTCTTAAAGAGAAAAAAAACCATGCTTTCTATTTCCAAAAAGAGGCAAATATTTTCACTACTGCTAAAATATCCGTAAGGTATATTTTAACAAAGTAAAGCAATTGATACATTTACTTTGTCTTTTCAAAAATAGGTATCACTCCCTCTGAAAGATGGATAGTAAGCTTCGACAAAGACCTTTCAGATGGCCTTGTTTTAGCAACACTGCTAGGAGCCTATTGCCCATATTTGGTAAGAGTCATTTTTATGCATAATGGTCTTCTATTATTTGAAAGAATTTAAGATTAAAATTTGAAGTATATTTTTTATAAACTGATTATTTTAAATGTCTTCATTTTAAGTCATACAACTAAATCTGAATGATTAGCATTGCCTTTTTATTTACTCTTGCCTTTTTAATTACAATAATCTATTATCTTAAATGCTAATACTAAATGACTCTTTGCTGAAGTACTTTAAATATAGCAATTTTTCTTCCATTAGCAAAAGGTTTGATTGTTGTCTTTTCCAGGTCGAATCTCACTTGATAAATATGTATACACAACCAAATAGTCCTGAACAACATTTGCACAATTGCCTGATTATCACAAATGTTCTTCATGAAATTGGCTTTGACATGGATGTACAAGTGGGTTCCTTTATATGACATATTCTATAAACATTTTATGAGTTTCGTCTCTTAGTTGATACCTTTATAATATTACTTTGTTCATAAATTTTAAATCTGAATTGAAATAGACTTTACTAAACTGTGGGAATTGAAAAATGACTCCAGAGAAATCTACTAGATATTTTAAATGAGAATAATTATATACAACTGTGCATAGTAAAAAAGTAATTTTAGTCCAGGCAACTGGAACCGCAAGAATGAAGCTTGCGTGCACTATTAATATTGCCTGAAGTCTTGAGATTGAATTAAAGGAGCAGACTACCTATTTGAATATAGATTTTGTTTTATCATCCTCATATATATGTAGTAAATTGGTGTTAAAATAAATATTTGTGTAGAGATCACAATGGCAATATGCATTTTTATTATATGTTGACCTTCAAGTTAATTCCATATGGCCTTTCACATCAAATACGCAATAATCAAAAATGCATTTTATCCTTACTGTTTTGTAAGCCTTTGCTACTTGGGAGTAATGAAATAATATGATAAATGATTCTTGATTTTGAAGAATATACAAATTTATTGAATTTTCAAGCTTTGTTGTTGTTAAGAGAAATAATGTTCTACTCATTTGATTGTCAATAAGGACAAAAAACAAAATGTCAAGTTCATATGAGGGAAGAGACCAATGTAACATAGACTGATTCACCAAAGATGTTGTGAAGAGGTAGGACTTGGGGTCTTGAAGGACTGAAAAGATTTCCACTGATAGTAGGGATAATTGAAGTTTTTTGCCCAGCAGAAATATCATGAAGAGGGACCAGCAGGTAGTGTGGTAGACTCCCACATGGCTGACTGAGGTTTGAGCCCCAGACCCAGTGGCTTGGAAATCAGGCCAGGTGCATGTGCATTTATACCCAAAATCCTGAGAAGAGAATGGAGGAGAAGGGATTACAGTGGGACCATTCCTCCGAGGGGTGACTTCTCACTTTCCCTCTCACTGTCTCAGTTGTCCCTCTGTTGAGTGCATGTACCATATGGTAAAAACCAAAAAAACAAAAAAAGGAATAACATGAACAGAAGCAGTGTGAGAAAATGATAGACATTAAGGAAATTGTGTGAATAGGTTTCCATAGGTGAAAATTGGTATTAGAAATATAGACACAGGCATATATTAGAATATTGGATATCAACATAAAAAGTCAAGAGCTTACCATGTCGTAGTATCAGCCTAAACGCCTTTAACCTTGCAAAAGTAAGCTGGACTGTAGATTGTACTCAGAAGAGAGACAGGGAATACACACCAGTCAGAACGCAATTTCGACTGGTCAAGGAAAACAGTAATTACTTTCTCTATTAATGTTAATTTAATGGGGGCTGAAAACATTGATCTCTAGAGATCATTAGGTTTGATAGACCAAATAACAGCCACAGAAGAAGCACAGAAGAAAGCCCATTGTAACTAACTCTGAGTTTTCTATTCTGTGATCCAGAAAGACTGATGATGCTAGTGCTTAGGATAATGTGATTCCTTATATCTTTGTAGAATTAAGTTTCATGATTGCTTACTTTTTCTTCTTTATAATGGAGTTATTTGCATATTAAAATTCTCTTCTTGGGATTTGGGGCACACAAACATACCATCCTGATATGTTTTTCAAGCTGCTGTGTCCAGGACTCTAACTGCACAGTTAGCCATGTAGAATCCATCTGCCTTAACCATTGTGCCACTGACTTCTCCATCTGATATTAGTATTAGTAGAGTTGTAAAAATAAAAAAAACTGTAATAAGAATTATTCAGAGAGTTCTGTTACAGTAATAGAGTTTTTTTTTTTTTTTTTTCCTCTAAGAAGTTTTTGCCTTAGGGCGTGTACACTCACTGGAGATAGAGAAAGATGGAGACAGAGAGGGAAAGTGAGAAATCACTCCCCAGGGAGGATGGCCACACCATAATTACTTCTCCTCCATTCTTCTCCTGGGATCTTGGGCATGCAAGCACACACACCCAGTGTGATTTTCAAGCCACGGGGTCCATGACGCTAATCGTACTTGGCCATGTTGGAGTCCAGTGATGTAACTGCTATGCCATCTGCTGGCCCCATAGTAGTAGAGTTTTAAGGACAAAGTCTATTAATATACTTTGGTTTAGAAAAACAACTCCCATCAATGCAACGCATTATTGAAACCTCTTCCTGAAAGGCATTGACTAGAACCAGCAAGGGTACAACTATTTGTTAATCTACACTTAGGCCTTCAGAGTTGTTACAGACTAATAAAGACAAGTACATGCAAAGAGAATGATTCAAGGCAGACAGCGAATGCCACAATAGACATAAAGGCAATGTGCCATAATGCTCAAAGGGACGAGAAGTTACTCCAATTAGAAAATCAGAAAAAGTTGCTTGAGAGACTTGGTGTTTAAGATACCACTTGAGAGTCTGATAGGGGCTCACAGGAAACTTAAAATGTTATCTTTGTTTAGAAAATACAATCCAGGGCCATCAGGTGTCATGGTGGTTAAGGTGCTAGACCTGGCAGCTTGAAAATCATGCTGGACATGTGTACATGCCCAAAAATCCCAGAAGGAGAATGGAAGAGAAAGGGATTGAAGTGTGGCCATCAAACCTGGTGGTGGTTGTAGGGGAGTGATTTCTCACTTTCCCTCTCACTCTCTCTCTAGTGAGCGCGCTTACCCTATGGCAACCCCCCTCCCCCCCAAAAAAGAAAAGAAATATAATTCATCATATATTATGTTTCTGTTCTGTGACTTTTAAATTTTTTTCTCATACATGTTGACTCAAATGTTTATTTTTGTTCTTCTAGAAAAATTCAGTATCTACTAGGTAAAAGTGTGGAGTCATCCAAGATTTGATGGATATTTACAATTAACCTAGAAGAAAATTACCAGTATTATTTATTTTTAAAATTGTATTTACTTTACTTTTATTCACTGTATATCATTACAGCATGCAAAAATGAGCTTTCCCATCCAGAATATACTGTATTGGCTCAATATATAGTGTATATACATGTATTACTATACATGTTATCTACAACAAATAATTTTCCATTTCAGCCAGTAATGCCATAACTTTTTATCAGCCTGGATTTACCAAGCACATTAAATAGTAGATTTATAAATGTCACTTTCAAATTATTCATAGTCAGGGGCCAGCAGATGTCATAGCAGTTATGTCTCTGGACTCCCGCATGGCCAACCGTGGTTTGAGTCCTGGACCCAGTGGCTTCAAACTCACACCAGGTGCATGTGCATGTGTGCCTAAGATCCTGGCAGAATAATGGAGGAGAAGGGATTGTAGTGTGACCATCCTGCCTGGGGGGTGATATCTCACTTTTGGTCTCTCTCTGTCTCTCTGGTGACTACATGCGCCCTAGAGCAAAAATCTCTCAAAAATTTATTCACAGTTAATGGATTCTACTTGAAACACATCTAATTCATCTCTTTTTTCTTCTTTAGATTTTTGTCATAGGGCATATGCATTCTCCAGAGAGAGACAGAGAGAGGGAAAGTGAGAAGTAACTCCCTCCCCAGAGGATATGGCCACATTACTATGCTTTCTCTTCCATTCTCTTCATGGGATTTTGGGCATGCCTGCACACAAGCCTGATGTGTTTTTCAAGAAGCTGGTCCAGGACTCAAACTGCCCAGTTGGCCATGTGGGATCCAGCATCTTTTTTTCTTCTTGAGAGTTTTTTGCTATAGGGCACAAGTGCTCACCAGAAAGAGACAGAGAGCTAGAAAGCGAGAAATCACCCACTGGGGGGATGACCATGCTGCAATCCCTTCTCCTCCATTTTCCTCTCGGGGTCTTGGGCATGCACGCACACACGCCCAGCCTGGGTTTAAGCCACCTGGTCCGGGACTCAAACCACAGTCGACTACATGGGAGTCTAGCGACATAGCCATTACGCCAACTGTTGGTCCTGGGATCCAGCATCTTAACCACTATGCCACCTGCTTGCCTTCTAATTCATCTTTTAACACATAGGTCAAACTCTTCCAATGCAGAACAATATTCTGTATACTCATGTTTTAGTGTCATTATATATAAAGAAACATTTGGAAATTGTTTTAAAGTAATTCAAGAACTTGGTGTATTATGCTTTTCCTCTTTTTATATGTTTTATCCAATTTATATTTCTTTTCTTTGAAACTAGGCCACTGACATCTGCGACCCAAATCCAATCTTATTGCTCATGCTTTGCGTCTATATGTATGAAAGACTCCCTACATACCTCCCCAAGAGAGTGGTGCCCTTTCATTGTACTCTGCATGACACAGAATTGGCACAGGTAAGGAGATCTTTGAGACTGCAATATGCATGGAATTGTTAAAGATGTAAGGCAGGTTTTACATTTCCCCAATTCAAAATTAATAGTGAGTATCTATATGATATAAATTATTAAAATTAAATAAGCCATAGCAAATGTTGCAACTTCTAAGTGAGAGGTCTAGAAAAGTGAAAGGGACAATTTTTGCTTAATAACCATCATCACCTGCAATGAAATAATGGCTTCATCTTTCTCATTTCCATTTTATGCAGAATAATATTATTCTGTATAAAAGTTAATTTATGGCTGTGGCCATATTCATGTTCATTCCTTTACCTTGAGTTGTTTTATGTATTTCTTGTCTTACTTAATTGAGGAAGAGGATAATTGTATACTTTTCATGGAAAAGTTGTACATACTTAGTCGTGTCCTGGTCGTCTTTGATTTGTAATTGTAACTTCATTCAGAAAATAACTGTGTAGCCTCCATGATGGTGTAAGCAATGCTTGGTAAGAATTTAGTTAAAAATCAGTACATTAAGTTTCTTGGCTCAAAATGTTTATGTCTCAACATGGGAAAAAGAAATCCTTCTCTTCTACTTTTTTTAAGAGAGATTTTTGCTATAGGACTTATGCTCTCTCTGTAGAGACAGAGACAGAGAGACAGAAAGTGAGAAATCACTCCCCAAGGGGGATGGCCATGTTGCAATTCCCTCTCCTTCGTTCTCCTCTTGGGATTTTGGGTCTAAACGCACACACTCCTGGTGTGAGTTTTAAGTTGCCAGGTTCGAGACTCAAACCGTGGTCAACTACATGGGAATCCAGCGATATAACCATTACACTATTTGCTGGTCCCGAAATCTTTCTCTTCTAGTCGTTTGTTAACAAATATTGAGATATGATCCCTTTTAATTTTCTTTCCTTTTTTGTAACAATAGGATATATAAAAGTCTGGAGAATGTTTTCAATGGTATTTACTAGGATACTTCCCTATCGACAATGATATGCAGGGGCCTTGGGTACTTACTAGCCTTTAGCTATAATTATAATGAAGAGGATTTTTAATTTTGAAATAAAATTAAAAAGAGCTAAAAGTATTTTTTCCAAGTCTACCAAATATAAGAGTCTGAATAAAATTAAACAGTGATTTATTATAATTAAATATTATTATTCCGCCATGTTTTCTGACTCCTAAGCCAGTGCTCTAACCCAAGGTGGGCTGCGAATGCACACTGAATTCACATCACTTCTGTGTATTTCAAGAGAAAATATTAATTTCTGACCAATGTCTTCAGCTTTGCTTGGTTTATGTTTGCGCTACAGGGTGTGTATGCTCACTGGAGAGACAGTGAGAGAGAAAGTGAGAAATCACCTTCCGGGGGGATGGCCACGCCACAATCCCTTCTCCTCCATTCTTCTCTCGGGATCTTGGGCACACACGCACACGCACCTGGCGTGAGTTTAAGCCGCTGGGTCCAGTACTCGAACTGCAGTCGACTACATGGGAGTCCAGGGACATAGCCATTATGCTAACTTCTGGCCCTTAGCTGTAAATTTTAATTATGATTTTAAAAAGCAAGTTAAAGCATATGTAAATGGAAATGAAGCCTTTCATTTTATCTATTTACTAGAAATATCATTCGTAGCTTACAGATGAGATTATACAAATACACCTTTTATTTTTCTCAAATGTAAGACAAATTTTTAAAGGAATATAAAAATTACAGGGCCAGCACGTGAAGTGATGGTTGGGGTGCTGGATCCCACCTGGCCCACTGTGTGACTCAAGTCCTAGATCCAGTGGCTTGAGAAACACACCAGATGCATGTATTGTGTAGGTGCCCGAAATCCCTAGAGGAGAATGAAGAAGAGATCCTGAAGGGTGCTTTCTCATTTCCCTTTTTCTCTGTCTCTTTCCAGCAAGCACATGTGTCCTATAGGAAAAAAAAATAAAAAGAAAAGAAAAGAAAAGGAAAGAAAGAAAAAAAGAAACTTAAATTTTGAGCAGAGATTTTTTGCTTAAGAAAATGAATGGTTTGGAAATTACTATTTGAGAATCTTTCCCACTGTGAAGCAATAGTATAAATGGCAATGTCTAAGTCATAGAGTGCCATTCTTACTAGTCCTACCAATGCTCCAGAATTAAAAACAAAATCACTGATGAAATGGAACGGAAGAAGTGTTTATATGGCTATGGGTCAGCAATAGAAATAAATTCTTGGAATCAGTATAAAATGTAGTGTTGGGTGAAAAAGAGAAGAGTACAATAATTTTATGAGACACTTGAAAACAAGGGAATTTGGGTGCCAGCAGGTGATGTGGTGGTTGAGGTGCTGGTTTCCCATAGGGCCAACCATGGTTCAAGTCCCAGACTTGACTGCTTACTTTCTCACTTTCCCTCTCTGTGTCTGGTAATGGCTCATGCACTGTAACAAATTTAAAAATAATAATAATGATAAATAAAATAAATAATAATAAAAATTTGAACTTTTTTTTGAAACATTTACCCAGATGCACAATAGTTAAATAATGACTGTGATTGCTAGAGGGAAGTGGAAAATCCAAAACTTTCTTTCCTTCCCTGAACAGCTGCTGCCCCTTCCTTTTTATTTTTTTAGAAATTTATGCCTTAGGGCATGTGCACTCACCAGTGTGTTGGTGGGAAGAGACCTAGACAGTGAGAGGGAAAGTGAGAAATCCCCTGCTGGGAGTTGCCCAGCCACTCTGCAATCCCTTCTCCTCCATTCTCCTCCTGGGATCTTGGGCATGCATGCACACATACCCTGCGTGAGTTTCAAGCTCCTGGGTCCAGAATTCGAGTCATGGAATAGTCAGCCATGTGGAAGTCCAGCAATGTAACTGCTATGCCATTTGCTGGTCCCAGTCTTCTCCCTGTCACTCTCTTACGACCCATAAATGAAATCCTAGAGTTGGATGGAGTAGTCTGACCACAGATGAACTCCATGCCTTTGTGTCACATATATAATATGGCAAAATGAGAATGAATGGCCTCCTTAACTTCTCAGGGATGGTTAGGAAAGTTCTGTGAAAATAAACCAATAATTGTTCACAAGAATCTACATTGTTTTTCAACATTTCCTTCCAAAACAGTGTGTTTGTATCCTATAACTAATGCACATCCTCCAGTGTACTTTAAATCTCTAGATTACTTATAATACTTAATACAATATAAATACTATTTAAATATTTAATATACTGTATATTTTTATTTGTATTTGCTATATTTTACTTTTTTTCCTCAATATTTTCTAATTTTTAAGAAAATTTTATCTCAGGGCTGGCAAGTGGCGTGGTGGTCAAGGGCACTGAACTCCCATATGGCCAATTGAGGATCGAGTCCCAGACCTGGGGGCTTGCTTTCTCACTTTCCCTGTCTCTCTCACTCTGCCCCTCTATGGTCAAGTTAAAATCAATCAATCAATCAATCAATCAAAAACTTTATTTCTTGAGAAATAGACAGAGAGACAGGGATTCTCCACTGTCTTGCAATGCTGCAACACTCTCTTCAGCCTTCTAAACAGCTAGGATTCCAGCCATACCCACAGGCATGCCCCGTGTGTTCAAGTTGGCCCAGGAACCAAACCTAGGGCCTTCCCATATGGTTCCAATATTGTGAAGCAGTATACTACCACATGTACCACCATGGCTGGGCCAATTTTCCAAATGCTTTTGATCCACAGTTGGTTGAATCTGATAATGTGAGTCTATTGGTATGCAGAGCTGAAGCGGGCGCGTGTGCGTGCGTGCCCAAGATCCTGAGAGGAGAATGGAGGAGAAGGGATTGCGGCGTGACCATCCCCCCTGGGGGGTGATTTCTCGCTTTCTGTCTCTATGTCTCTGTCTGTCTGGCGAGCGCACGCGCCCTATAGCGAAAATTTCTCAAAAAAAAATATAGTCTTCAAAAAGTTCATGGAAAATTTGTGTTATGAAAAACTATGTATGAATTTCAAAATATTTTGCCTCAAAATAAATTCAAACGTTGAACTTTAATTCCACTTTCATTTCATATGTGTGTGTGTGTGTGTGTGTGTGTGTATATGTGTGTGTGCTAGGTTTAAATACAAAGTCTGCCTTTCGCCTTCCTCCAGTTAGGCTGCATTAAGAATAAGTATTTTCATGAATAAAATGTATAACTCCATCATAAAAATAAATAATATAGGTATATATTTTTAAAATTCATGACCTTATTGATACACTCTTCTACTTCTACACAGATTCTACTGAAAAATTCAAGCACAAAGATCTTAGTGTATAATGCTATAATTGTTGGAAGAGATGCAGCTGATTTCTCCCTTGCCCAAACAGGAAAGATTATAACAATTTTTCCAAAGTAAGTACTTTTTAAAAAAAACGTTGCATTATTGTACATATCAGCCCTTGAGATTAAATACGTATAATAATTATAAAAACTTGGATTCTGGGACCAGCAATGGGCATAATGGCTATGTCACTGGACTCCCATGCAGTCCACCATGGTTCGAGTCCTGGAACTGGTGGCTTAAACTCACACCAGGCGCGTGTGCATGCGTGCCCAGGATCCCAAGAGGGGAATGGAGGAGAAGGGATTGTGGCGTGGCCATCCCCCTGGGGGGTGATTTCTTATTTTCTTTCTCTCTGTCTCTGTCTTTCTGGTGAGTGCAAGCACCCTATAGCAAAAAACTCTAAAAACAAAAACAAAAACAAAAAACTTGAATTCTTCCTGTTATCTAAATACCCATATTTTATAGCATTCTATTCTTAAATTGGAGTTACAGTATCATAATAAATGTCTGTGACTTCTATGTTCTCATCTATTTCTTGAATTATGTCTATTTTCTCTGAGGCCAGTTGCTTTGTTTCTTTACCTGAGTCTTGATTCACGCTGAGAGGTTTATTCTGATGTCTCATGCTGCTTGGTTATCCATTCATCTGTAATAGTATGGCAATGGAATAGCCAATTATGAGTCTACGTGTGTGCCTAGGTTTGTTCATTTCAAGGTGAAAAATCTATTTTTTAAAAAATTGTCAGAAGTTGTGTGTGCTGCCAGAGATTTGTAGGGGCGATGAGAAAACATTCCTCCTGGGGAATGGTCATGCCACAAACCCTTCTCCATTTCTTTCTCCTTTTGAGATTTTGGGCATGCACATGCATGTAGGAAAGATTATAACAATTTCTCCAAAGTAAGTACTTTTTAAAAAAAACGTTGCATTATTGTACATATCAGCCCTTGAGATTAAATACGTATAATAATTATAAAAACTTGGATTCTGGGACCAGCAATGGGCATAATGGCTATGTCACTGGACTCCCATGCAGTCCACCATGGTTCGAGTCCTGGAACTGGTGGCTTAAACTCACACCAGGCGCGTGTGCATGCGTGCCCAGGATCCCAAGAGGGGAATGGAGGAGAAGGGATTGTGGCGTGGCCATCCCCCTGGGGGGTGATTTCTTATTTTCTTTCTCTCTGTCTCTGTCTTTCTGGTGAGTGCAAGCACCCTATAGCAAAAAACTCTAAAAACAAAAACAAAAACAAAAAACTTGAATTCTTCCTGTTATCTAAATACCCATATTTTATAGCATTCTATTCTTAAATTGGAGTTACAGTATCATAATAAATGTCTGTGACTTCTATGTTCTCATCTATTTCTTGAATTATGTCTATTTTCTCTGAGGCCAGTTGCTTTGTTTCTTTACCTGAGTCTTGATTCACGCTGAGAGGTTTATTCTGATGTCTCATGCTGCTTGGTTATCCATTCATCTGTAATAGTATGGCAATGGAATAGCCAATTATGAGTCTACGTGTGTGCCTAGGTTTGTTCATTTCAAGGTGAAAAATCTATTTTTTAAAAAATTGTCAGAAGTTGTGTGTGCTGCCAGAGATTTGTAGGGGCGATGAGAAAACATTCCTCCTGGGGAATGGTCATGCCACAAACCCTTCTCCATTTCTTTCTCCTTTTGAGATTTTGGGCATGCACATGCATGTACCCAGTGTGTTTCTCAAGCTGCCAAGTCTGAAATTCAGAACAAGCAGTCAGCCATGTGGGATCCTGTTGCCTTTGCCATCATGCCACCAGCTGGCCCAACATTCTACTTTTTGTCTGATTTATAGCGTTTTTTAAAGCCACTAGGGAGAGCGGGATTGCCTGAATCTCATCTTGCCCTCTGTGTAAAATTGACTTCCTTTAACTAGCTGCCCTATTTTCCAGTTCTATTATTATAGTTTTAATAATATTTCTGTTAGGAAGAGAGATGATGGATCTGGATTTCAGATGCCATTGTGGTTTAGAACCTTCTCCCATTATTTCACAATTAAATGCTGGCTTGTAATCCTAATATCTACAAATAATCCAGATATTGTTATTATATTATTAGAATATGGGGATCAGATTATTTACTCAGTGTTGCAACTAATAAATGTTCATGCAGACCAAACAGCTGGTGCTAACTGGGACTTATAGGAAGCAATCAATAAGTACCTCCACCCAATTTGAAATGTTGGAAAATATGAGGGAGTGGGTCTTCTGAAGTTCATCAAGAATACATATTATGAAAAAAATCTATGCATGATTTTCATTTTTATATCAAAATAAATGTACTTAAGTTCCATTTTTCCTATAAACTTTTGAAGTGTGCTTGTGTATTAATGTAAACCTTAGGAATGTCTGAGCAGCAAATACACAATGTGGATATAATTTGATAATTTTTATTTGTTGCGTGTTTGTGGAACAAGAAGAGAATGGAAAAAAGTAGTACCTGAGTGCTCTTGCGAAAACCAAGGAAGGGCTCCCAGAAGAAATAATGCTTAATTTTGAACACACAGGAAATAGCTATTCACTTATCTAGATGCATTTTATTTTGTTGCTTGAATACTGTTATTAGGTGGTTCTCTATGTATATCTTTAGCTAGTCTAAATAATTTTATAGTATTTGATTTTTACAAATAGGACTCAATATATTTTGTTTTCTTAAACAAAAATGCATAGTTTTATCATTACCAGATGTTACATAATTATTTATGTTAACACATTCTGTCTTAAATTCTGTCTAAAGTACAATTAATAATGACTCTGTCTGCTAGCTATGGACTTAAATTCCCAGAGATACCATTTATGTAAAAAAGATGAAGCAGCTACACACATGTATAAACAAACATTTGTTTTTGCATCTAACTTAAACACTAAATTTGGTTATAACCATAGAGTGATTTTCATAAAAGTGAAAATATAGTTTTAGAAAACCATTCTGTTTCTTTTTTTCTTATTATTCTCATTGAGCCATATGTGCACTGACAATGATGTGTTATATTGGGTCATCAGAAAAGTCATGATGTATTTTTTTATGTTTTTCTATGCAAAAATGCGTCATGACTTTTCAGATGACCCGATATATTTATTCTCCTTGTATTCCAAAAGTCAAGCTGAAGTAGCTTACAAGGTACATGTAATATCAAGGAGACTTTTTTTTTTTTTTGAATGACGAAGAGGCAGTTGAAGCAAAAAGCAAGTAAAATGTAAGAAAATTAAGATAAAACTTATGATTATGATATATATGACCAAAGACCTAGAACACATACCTGAAACAGACCACACATTTGATTCTGAAGTTTCTAACAAATTCAGAAAGGAATCATCGCATACTTGCATATCACTATACAATTTTAAAACAGAATTTCTACCAATGCCATGGTGATCTAATCTATTATCAGGTCCTAGGTCCTATAGAGTTTACCAATTGTATCTTTTTTTTTTTGGTCAGAGAGACAGAAAGTAAGAAATCTCTGCCCCAAGGGGAATGGCCATGCCACAATCCTTTCTCCTCCGTTCTCTTCTTGGAATTTTGGGCACACATACACGCATGCAGTGTGAATCTCTCAAGCCACCGGGTCTGGGACTCAAACCACAGTTGACTATGTGCGAGTCCAGCTATGTAGCCATTATGCTGTCTGCTGGTCCCATCCAATTGTATCTTAAAATTTGCTATTTTTTTCCCCTGCCCTATCTCTTTCACCCTAATTTAATGTGACACGATCTTTATACTAGACTGCCACAATAGACTCCTAAAAGGTTTCTTTGCAATCTATCCTCTATATAAGAATGATAACTATGTTTTACTGAAAATTTGAACTTGTTACTCTTCTGCTCGAAATATCCCAGTTGCTTTCCATCAACATGAAGATATAGACTGAATATCTCACAATACACTTTCACTGACCTAAAATCACTCTACTGTTCCATGACTGGTTCTTAGCTACTCCTTGAATTACTAACCCTACAGCATTACTGACCTTTGATTAGTTCTTCAGACACATTAACATTCTCCATAGAAGAAGGCCTTGGACGCCATATTTTCTCCTTAACCTGGCTAACTTATTCTCATCCTTCATACTTTATCACGTATCATTTCCTCTGACTATGCAGACTACATTATGTTTTTTTTTTTGGAGAGATTTTCACTGTAGGGCGCTTGCGCTCGCCAGACAGACAGAGAGAGACATAGAGACAGAAAGCGAGAAATCACCCCCCAGGGGGATGGTCACGCCACAATCCCTTCTCCTCCATTCTCCTCTCGGGATCTTGGGCACGCACGCACACGTGCCCGGCGTGAGTTTTAAGCCACCGGGTCCGGGACACGAACCGCGGTCGACTACGTGGGAGTCCAGCGACATAGCCATTACGCTAACTGCTGGCTCCCACTATATTATGTTTTCATACCACTTTATAGCACATACATAATTTATTTTTTAGAGAGATTCTTTTAGAGAGATTTTTCCTATAGGGCACATGCGCTTGCCAAAGAGACAGCAAGACACAGAGAGAAAAAGCAAGAAATCATCCCTGGATGGTATGGCAACATCGCAATTCCTTCTTCTCCATTATCCTCTTGGGATTTTGAGCATGTACACACATGCCCCTGGCACGAGTTTTAAGCCACGGGATCTAGTACTCGAACCGTGGTTTACTACATGGGAGTCCAGCAATGTAACTATTATGCATGCCATCTGCTGGTCACAGCACATACATAATTTGTAATTGTCATAATTATTTTGTGGTATTAATATCTGCCAATCCTATGAAATGTAAACTCCAAGACTTTAGGAGTTGAAGGGCTTTTTGTTGTTACAGTTTTTTTTTTTTTTTAAGAATTATTTTATTTAACTTCCTTCCTTCCTTCCTTCCTTCCTTTCTTTCTTTAAATTTGACCAGAGAGGGACAGAGTGAGAGCAGGAGCAAGAGAGGGAGGGAGGGAGGGAGAGAGAGAGACAGAGAGAGACAGAGAGAGACAGAGAGAGAGAAAGAGAAAGTGAGAAATCAAGCTGCCAGGGGTCTGGGACTTGAACGGTGTTCGGCCATGTGAGAGTCCAGCACCCTTAACCACCATGCCACCTGCCAATGCCATAGTTTTGGTTTTCTTTCTATAACCACCATCCCCCCTGCCAATGCCATAGTTTTGGTTTTCTTTCTAATGATGACTTTTACGCTATCTAGAGAAATCCTAAATCACTCAGAGGTCCTCTAACACAGAATCTGAGCCTATACACAGAAAAAGACCTCAAGATTAAACGTTCATTTGTCTCAGTTAAATTCAAGCCTATAAGCTTTTCATATTTGGGAGGGGGAGCACAAATTGAGGAGGTTTGTGATAACACATATCTGTGTAAAAGTCCCTTGACTCTGCTAGATGTGAGCTGTAACTTTCTCTACAAAACAATTTGGGGAATATATATATATTTTTTATGAGTCTGTTATTCAATCTTTATTGTTGTCTGGCCTGCAATTTTAT